GGGCTGTTACTGTTCTGATATTGAGCCCGAGGGGTTGGCACTGTTCTGATATTGAGCCCGAGGTGTTGGCACTGTTCTGATATTGAGCCCGAGGGGCTGGTTCTGTTGATATTATGCTCGAGGGGCGGTTTGTTGTACATGTTTTGTCCGAGGGGTTGTTTACATTTCTATCATTTTTGTTACTCACTTGTAAACTACTTGCTTTACTTGTTGGAAAAAGGGATTTTCACTTGATTTCTCACTGCCTTACTGATTAAAGTGATTTTACTGCCTTACTGTTTAGGTGATTTTTTGCCTTTAGTCTTTATTTATATTATTATTCACTGAGTCGGAGTACTCACATTACTCCCTGCACCTTGTGTGCAAATGCAGGTATTTATACACCCGATAGCGGGTTTTTAGCTGATCAGAGGCAGAGTTATCGGAGTTTAGCGAGGTGGCTGCCGACGTTCGCAACACCGCTTTTCTCCCTTTTGTTCATTATTCCTGTTTTGTATAATTTGACCTTGTAGTTATATTTACACCCTAATAGATGCTCGTGACTTGTGACACCCCGATTTGGGCTGTGTCGGGATGGTTTCTACTGTTGTTATTGTATTTTCGCAAATTATGGTTACTATATCTTGTCTTAGAACTATTTATGATATTTAACAGTTTAAAAGAGGTGTTCTGTTTTGGTTTGGCTGGCCTTGTCTTCACGAGAGGCGCCATCACGACCGGGTTCAGGGATTTAGGTCGTGACAATTTTCTAATAAAATTCATTGTAAGTAATATTGCATACCTAGTATGAATTAATGAATGTGAAATGATGGTTGGCAATCCATATTTGTGCAACTCCACAATTTAACTGAAGTGATTGACTGCAAATATGTATAAATAATTTAACAAATAAAAGTATTTCCCTATGATTAAAAAAAAAGTTATAACAGGATATGTCAAAGTAAATTAAATTTAGAAGAATATTTACCTCATCCAATTTTTTGTTTGTCTGTAGTATGACCAACTATATACTGAGTATGTACATTGAACTTGTTGTTGGTGCTGCTCATTTTATACTTATTAAAAACTTCTATTCTCCAAATTTCTAAAAACTTCTTTATACACTACATTTGTAGCTTCATTTGATAATTTCCCATCTTCATCATAACATATAATCTTCAACCCTTTTCTACTTGTTACTCTTGAAAGTGCAACATATAATTGTCCATGATAAAAATAGACTTCTTAAAAAATAATCCCACATTAGATAATGACTGACCTTGACTTTTATTGATGGTCATGGGAGAAACTGAATTACCAAATAGCTCAGAATGCACCACATAATTGAAGGCACCAATGATGAATGATGATTGTTAGAAGATTTATAATGACAGAGAAACACAAGATGTTAAAAGTGAGAGCAATTAAAAAAATAACACATGCTAGAAGATGATAGAAAAAGAAATTTGTCAACAAAATAGAATTCAGCAAAGAATTCACTACATCGACCACGTTGGTGTGTATGTATTTCTGTGATATGTTTGAACTGACACTAAAAAGATAGAAAACAAATAAGGCAAAGTAAAATGAAACTGGAAAAAAATGAGAGAAACTGAATTACCAAATAACTCAGTATTGTCAAATTCTTGGGGATTTGACAGCTCCTCATAAGTTTTGAATTTGAAAATACACATGTTAAAATGTGGATCATGTAATTAGTCAACGGTGGTCTTATGTGTGAACATCAACTTAAACTTGTGGTCTTTGGTCTTCAGCTTCATATTATTTGGACGTACCACAAAATTCTTCATGATGTACAAACCCATTTCCTTAATTTCTTGTTTGAACCTTTGGATAAAAGACCTGTCAATACTTGCGTGAATGTGGTCGCCCTACAAAAAACAATTCAATTAATTAAAATGACAAAGTTATTCTGTATATGACTGTAATATACTTGCGCATATGTAAAAAATGATAAATAGAAAGTGAGTATAAAGTTTTAAACAATACCTTTTCATCCATCAGAACAATTTCAATTGAAAAGGGGTTGTCAGGCCTATCGCGATCCGGATTTTTCCAAGGCCTAACAATACGAACCTTTAACTTCCAATTCATTGACTTGCTGTTAATTTCACTAACGAAATTGATTTCAGCCGCCATTATATCCTGAAATAGACAGAGGAATTTGTAAATATAAGTAGAAACTAAAACTGCACAAAATATCTGTTAAAGGAATACAATTCCATCATGGAATAAAGATTGTTCATGAAATACAAATCATACAAATTACCTCTTTTAGTCTAGAATTGTTGTTTGATATGCACGCGATAGAGAAAGAACAAAACTATGTAAAAGTAGAACTGATTTGATAAAAATGTGAAATCACGTTGCTGGAATCTTGGGCAGAAGAGTTCGTGGGTAAGGAGTTGATATCGTGGTGAGACGTCGTGGGATTGTGGTACCGAATTTGGAGGATGAAATTTTTAGGGCAAAAGATAAAAATAGCTCAGTATTGTCAAATTCTTGGGGATTTGACAATTCCTCGTAGGTTTTAAATTTGAAAATACACATGTTAACATGTGGATCATGTAATTCGTCAACGGTGGTCTTATGCGTGAACATCAACTTAAACTTGTGGTCTTTGGTCTTCAGCTTCATATTATTTGGACAAACCACAAAATTTTTCATGATGTACAAACTCATTTCCTTAATTTCTTGTTTGAACCTTTGTATAAAAGACCTGCCAATACTTGCGTGAATGTGGTCGCCCTACAAAAAAACTCAATTAGTTAAAATGACAAAGTTATTCCGTATATGACTGTAATACACTTACGTAACAACAACAACAACAACCCAGTATAATCCCACTTAGTGGGGTCTGGGGAGGGTAGTGTGTATGCAGACCTTACCCTACCCTGGGGTAGAGAGGCTGTTTCCAAATAGAACCCCGGCATCCTTCCCTCCAAGAACTTCCCACCTTGCTCTTGGGGAGACTCGAACTCACAACCTCTTGGTTGGAAGTGGAGGTTACTTACACATATGTAAAAAATGATAAATAGAAAGTGAGTATAAAGTTTTAAACATTACCTTTTCATCCGTCAGAACAATTTCAATTGAAAAGGGGTTGTCAGGCCTATCGCAATCTGAATTTTTCCAAAGCCTAACAATACGAACCTTTAACTTCCAATTCATTGACTTGCTATTAATTTCACTAACGAAATTGATTTCAGCTGCCATTATATCCTGAAATAGACAGAGGAATTTGTAAATATAAATAGAAACTAAAACTGCACAAAATATCTGTTAAAGAAATACAATTCTATCATGGAATAAAGATTGTTCATGAAATACAAATCATACAAATTACCTCTTGTAGTCTAGAATTGTTGTTTGATATGCACGCGATGGAGAAAGAACAAAACTATATACTGTAAAAATAGAACTGTTGATAAAAATGTGAAATCATGTTGCTGGAATCTTGGGCAGAAGAGTTCGTGGGTAAGTAGTTGATATCGTCGTGAGACGTCGTGGGATTAAGGTGCCGAATTTGGAGGATCAAATTTTTAGGGCAAAAGATAAAAATAGCGTTCCCAATCGCCGTTCTTATTTCAAAATGTATCTATACCTATTTAATAGGAATGACTGTTTTTTGGGCAAAAAACATAGAAAGTACATGCTTCTTCTATAGGAATGACTTTTCTTTTCAAACTATACACGTAGAAACTGGTTCTTTTTTAAAAAAAAGCTTCTTTTTAAAAAAATATAGAATACCTAATTAAGTGTTTTTAAATTATTAATGACTTTTCTTTTCAAACTATATACGTATAAACTGCTTCTTATTTTAAAAAACTTCTTTTTTAAAAAATATAGAATACCTAATTAATTGTTTTTAAATTCAAAATTTTAAAAAGGAAACTAATTTTACCTAACTTTAACTAATTTGTCCTAAAATAGACACATGACATTTTATATGTGGAACACTTGGCAAATTTGTAGAGCTAACTTTTTTCCTTTTAAGTAAAATAAAATATAGATAGATATTAGAAATCATGAATTCTATTTCAGCAAACTTAGAGTTTACTGTTTAATAAAGTTTCTAGGATAAATTGTTTAACAAACTAACCAGAGATCATACATCTCCTCTTTCATCACATGAGTTGACATTTTGAGAATAATTGGAGAAAGAGACTCCTATTGTGCAACGTCTCTTTTTATTTATTTATTTATTTTATCTAAATTAAAAAGAGATAAAGAAAAGTAGGTATAATTTAGGACAGAGTTACCTTTGAGGGTTAGTAGTGAAATAATTAGGATTCGTTCACCCTTAATTAGAAGTCTCGGGTTCGAACTCTGGAATGAAAATGTTTGGCAAGGAGCGTTTCCCTTTAATGGGCCTTACACGATGCATATCAGGATGAAATTCAAAAATAGTCAGGTTTACAAGTGGTGATTGAAAAATAGCCACAATTTTAAAAGTAATCGAAAATTAACCACTTTTCATGTAAAGATAAATCTGAACAAAAACACTGTTCAAAATCCGAAAATATTCCAGCATAATACACTGGAATTTCATTATAATATACTAGCCCAGAATATAATATACTGGTCCAGAATAATATGCTGGAAGTTCATACATATATGCTCAAATCTCCAATATATTATGGTGGAACTTTCTGTGTGTTGGAGTTCCAATATAATATGCTGGAAGTTCATACATAGGTGCACCAATGTCCAGTATATTATGCTGGAACTTTCCGCGTTGCAGCAAAATAGTGGCTATTTTTCAATGACCTTGCAAACGCTGGCTATTTTTTAATTACCAGTCCGAAAACTGGCTAGCCCGTACTATTTTTACTGCATATCAAGATTAGTCAGGGCCCCAAAAGCGGATATCGCACACCGGATATGAAAGAAAAATAATAATTTTTACTGACTTGGTGAGATATCCACAAGTCAATCTTGTAATTTCACAAACTCAAGTTCTAACCATCCAACATGTACAGCTAGATCATAGTTAAATATAACGATAATTGTACTGATATATGAATTTACTTGTACAATAGCTGTAAAGCAAAGATGAGTATTGCAAAATGCACAAGTAAGAAGAGACATCTGGTTGGAGACTTCAAAATCCCTGTAAAGAGCAAGCTCCAAATAATATATACTACAGATAACAGAATACAGATTTAGATGAATGTATACTAATTGATAAGGCGATTATCGCCATGTTCCAAGAGCAAGCTCCTCTAAATAATAGATACTATAGAATACAGATTTACCTTAATGTACTAATTTATAAGGCGACTAACGCCGTGTTTCTTACTGTACACTTAATCAAATCAATGGTATTTGCCATTTAATCTCATGCTATATCGCTCGCAGAAACTGATGAATCAAACGACTAGGCTCCAAGGAGTGTGCTTATTGCTCAACAACTCCTCTCGCCACTCGACTCCTCTAAATATAGAAGAGGAGAAAAGAACAAAAGAATGGATTTAATCGCCACTGCGAAATGGTCCACAGCTTTCAATATACATCAGTAGCTATGAGCTCCTGGCTTTGCTGAACACCTAAATCACTCGATATCCTATTACACAACTGCAAGATATAAGCATGATTTAGTTAGTTTAGCAGGTTTGGAGGGATTGCAGGTTGCAAATGTATTCAAGAGGCGTCAACCGATACCCTTTCGTAAGAAAATTACATTATGTAGCTAGGTAGTTTTTATTTAATGTATAAAAGGGCAGCCCGGTGCACTAAGCTCCCGCTATGCGCGGGGTCCGGAGAAGGGACGGACCACAAGGGTCTATTGTAAGCAGCCTTACCCTGCATTTTTGCAAGAGGCTGCTTTCACGGCTCGAATCCGTGACCTCCTGATCACATGGCAATAACTTTACCAGTTATGCTAAGGGTCCCCTTCTCGTTTTTTTAATGTATATATACTATATACTGACACTCTTTGGCTTCTTCATATATTTACTTCTTTATATTTTGACCCCTCTTAGTGAAAATCTGGCTCCGCTACTGGTTGCAATAGTATAGATGAGGGTGTTTGAGATATACCTGTCTATATACTGTTGAATCCCCCGAAGACTTTCGTAACTCTACAACATACAACGATGGGCTAATCTCAAAAACCTGCAATTTATGCATTGGAATAATTATGCTTCTTTTTCTCTCTTTCTGCAATGGAAAATAAGGGGAGTAGAATGTTGTTTTCGTCAATTACCTCAGCGACTACTGAGAGATTAGCCGCGCTCTTTTGGCTTTTGTGGTCTTGCATCACTTTCAACTGCAATATGCAAAGATACAAATGTTAAAAGAGATGTATCACTAGTGCATGTCAAATACAGGTAGATAGACCGGCATTGATACTAACCCTTCCATTTTTTTTCTGGACATGAAATCCCATTTGTGTTACCATAGTCTCAATCCGCTCCAGCAACTGCTTTGGAGAGAGACTGGATGTAAATCTGATCTTCCTCTCAGAAACATCCTACAATAATTCAAATAAGAAATAAGTCTCGGTTTAAATATTTGTTCCTCGCATAATATGGTAAAAAATGAAAAGTAGACTTACCTCTTTCTCGAAAAATCCAGAAAGATCCAGACATGACGACATCCCTATTAGCTCGAAAGCATTTAGCACACAAGGGGATTCTGGATCTCTTTGCGCATCAAGTGGCTGTGCCGAGGATATTAAAAACCAATCAGTCATTAATGATAAAAGGATTAAAATGCTAGACATAAACCAATTAGTCAAGGGTCTAAAGTTCATACTGCTTCTTGTACTGATAAGACTTGATTATCCGTTGATGCATGATCGCCTTCCAAATCTTCTTCGTCGGGATTTACAGGAGTGTAGTCTTGTTTGAACCATTTATCTTCTTTGATTTCTTCCATCGTTATACGAGTATGTGGGTTGGGATCAAGAATCCTCTTTATGAGGTTCTTTGCTCCCGCGGATAGCCATTTTGGTATATGAACATCCCCCTTAACTATCTGATTAATGTCCCTCCAAATAATATTAATAGTATTAGCTCCAGAAAATGACATATAAATGAGCTCCACACAGAAAAAAAAAGTTTAAAAGGAGAAAGAAGAGGAAGTCTTACCTTTTGATAAAGTACTGCAAGATTTCTATCGTCAAATGGTAAATAACCGGTGAGAATGACATATAAGATGACACCACACGACCAAGTATCTGATGCCGCGCCATCATATCCTCTATTAGAAAGAATTTCAGGGGCGACATAGTTAGGACTACCGCAAGTTGTATGCAACAAACCATCGTCCTATAGTTAAGCAAGAAATCTCATTAAGCTTGAGGAAAAGTATTCACGTATCCAATAACGAGAAGATGTTATATTCCATACCCTAAAATGTTGGGGTAAAGCACTGAGTCCAAAGTCCGTAATTTTTATGTTCCCTTTTGAATCAATGAGAACATTTTCTAGCTGCATTTCAAAAATAGCAAATGTTATTTGACAGAACATGCGACAACTTGTAATGTTTGTGTGCTACATTATATAATTAGTTACCTTGAGGTCTCTGTGGAAGACACCTTTTTCGTGACAGTAACTAACGCCGTCAATCAATTGTTGAAAGAGTTTTCTACCTTGTGCCTCTTTGAGTTTCCCTTTGGACACCTATGAATAAGAATTACAAATAAAGGTTAAAATTCCAGATTTGAGACGTTAATATGCAGAAACACAAGTTAAAATCGCCAAAGTTACTTACGATTCTGTCAAATAATTCACCACCATTCACGTATTCCAGCACCATATAAATCTTGCTTTTGCTCGCTAAGACCTGCTTAAATATAATACTTTCATGTTAGATATGCATCTTAGTAAAATACTAATATGAACTCAATACAAGGTAACAGATGAACAAAGCAAATACATACATACTATAGATACAAAGATAGTAGATGAAATTGTGATTAAAATATCTGAGAATAGAGTGACAAAATTCAAAATGAAGTTTCATCATATATTTACAAACAAGGTGAACTGCTAAATCTTAACCGGTGATTATTAAGTCTGCGTTACAGAATCTTATCATTATATGTTCATTTAAACTATGTTATTCATGGAACTAATACTCCCTCTATTTCGATTCAGGTGTCTTACTTTCTTGTTTCGTCTGTTTCAAAAAGAACGTCTCTTTTTTAAGATCACAAGATTTAAAAGTCTTCCTTACTTTTCTTAAACTCTATACGCAGTCAAACAGACGTAAAAATTGAAACAAATGGAGTACTAAGTAACACTTTTATGCCAAATGTTTGGGCTCGACAACATTCCCCAGGCAGTCTTTTAAATGTCAACATTTTAGTCATATCTAAATGTTTGGTTATTATTATTATTATATTATTATTATTATCAAAAATAATAATAATAATAATATAGCAAACTTTTGTTGTTGTTGTTATTATTGTTACTGTTGCTATTCTTATTGTTAATCACTTGACACCGTTGTACTTGTTGTTATTATTATTGTCGTTGTTGTCATTTTTGACACACTGAGACGGCACTTGACAAGCAACATGAAATCGTCACAGACATTACATCTTGTCCAAGTCCTCCAAGGAAGAAAAACTATTATTGACAGGAACCTAATTTAATTAGATTGAGTAGTTACTTCATGGTTTGAACTGAGTTCAAGAAATTTTGGTCTACCACGGCAGAATAACTTAATTTTAA